ATCGTAGATAGTAAATATATCTCTTTCAAAGTGAAGAGCATAGCCTTTCTTTATCATTTAGCCAATGCTCAATATATCTTTTTTAATATTGGGAACAAGTAGGACATTATTAATGAGTCTCATACCTTTCTTAGTATCCACCATGATAGTGTCTTTGCCTTTTCACTATACCATAGCACCATTCACCAATCGTATTTGAACTTTGATAGGGTTATCAATTTTTTTGAAGTTGCTCAGATCATTAGCCATGTTATTACTACACCCACTATCCAAGTACCATCTTCCTTTTGATTCATTGTTGGAATATCGGGTAGCATAGAAAAGATGTTGTTTATTGTTTTGCTCTTGACAAAATTTGGTTGTTGTTGGTTTTTGTTGCGACAATTTTTCTTCACATGTCCAAATTCTTATAGTGTTGAAATTGAGGTTTTCCACGATGCCAACAATCTTTTTCCAAATGACTTGTCTTTTTACAGATGCCACATGGAGGATATTTTCCTTCATTGATCATAGAGAAACTTCCAAAATTTTCTTTATTTCTAGAAATTTCTTCAGTATTTTTATTTCCTCCATATACTTTATTTTGAGATCGTAATTTTAACTTTAATTGAAAGGTATTTTCGACAGAGCCTTCTTCTCACCTTTTCAATCTTTGTTCATATGTTTCAAGAGAGCTCATTAGTTGTCTCACTGATAATGTAGACAAGTCATTTGTTTGTTCAATCCCAGTTGCAATTGCATCATATTTAGAGGTAATCAAAATTAGAATTTTCTCAACAATTTTTTTGTCAAAAATATTTTTTTCATAGGCTCTCATGTGACTAACTATTTCTTTTACTATAGAATAGTAGTCTTTTATGGACTCAAATTTTTTCATTTTTATTAATTCAAACTCACATCTTAGTGAATGAAGTTTAAAATTGTGTACCTCATCACTTCCTTGAAACTCCTCTTGTATTGTGTTCCAAACTTCATTTGCACTTATGGTACCCATTATTCTTGTTGAAGGACAAATAATGCCCTTGAATCCTTCTTCTTGTTTTCCTTCAACTCCTTCCTCTGAGCTACAATAAGAGTTGAGGTATCTTCTAGAATAGTAAGTCCATCTTCTATAATGTCCCATAAATCTTAAGAGGAAAAAAATGTCTTCATTTTGACACTCCAAAAGTCATAGTTTTCTCCGGTGAAAATAGTAACTAGAATAGATGATGGTTGATTAGTAGTGGCCGTAGGTTGAGAAAATATTTTAAAAGTAGTATAGAATATAGTTGGGTTTTTTTATTAGAAGTAGTTGAGAAACTTATCAAAGCCTAGTAGATGGCTGAACGTAGCTTTGGTACCATTGATGAAAAGATAAATAGAGGAATAATTAAAAAACGGGTTAGCTTTGTTGGGAGGAGGTTAGTAGACGTGGGATAAGTTGAAAAATTTGTAAATTAATGTGAGTTAGTAGTTGACAAGAAAAGCAAAGATTTATTGCAATGTTTACTACTTGCATGATGTTTCTAGAAATTTGCAGCATATTTATCACAAACGACAATGTTGGTGATGTTTGAGGCAGGGTTGCGAGACATGACGAGGTTAGGGTGAGATATGACGAGGTTTAGAGAGTGACAGGGCGAGGACCGAGGTGAGGCGGTGTTGAAAGAGTTTGAGAATGAGTGTGACGATTTTATGGTGAGTGTTGAGAGATAAAGGCAAAGGTTGAAAGTATATGTTATCTGACTCGACTAGTAAGCAATTTGGTTGGAGTATCGATATATATTAAAAAAAAAAAATTGACATATAAAATTCATGCTTCAAAATAGATATTATAAACAAGTAAAAAATATTATAAAGTTTCTATGTACACAAATATTAAAATTTTCTAGATTATAGACAATCTCATCAAATTAGAATCAGAGAAATTAAGCACCCTAATAAACAAAATTAAAAAAAAAAAACTCATGCATAAGAAAGTAGCGGCAGATAATCCAACTAGCAAGCAATATACAAAATAATACATATATATATATATATATGTATGTATATATGTGTATATATATATATGTGTGTGTATATGTAGTTAATGACTCACGTACTATGACAAACGATGATAGTTGTGTCATTGTATGATGAGAAGATGATGAATGCACCACATCAGCAATATCACATTGTTGCTATTGGAGTGCATGACTATGATAGAGGAGAGATGACAAGTGTTGTATGGTGTGATCAGAACTGTGCGACAAAAGAGAGCGACAAATGAAGGAGAGGAACAAACAGAGGAGACATATGAATAGAGTAGAGCCACAAACGTCATATTGCTAGAAAAGGAATACATCGACCCAACCAAGTCACCCAAACTCGCCAAGTGCTAAACTCGTCAAGTCAAATCGGATTGCACTAGATTGAAAGCATCCCCGATTTATTAATCAGCTTGGACCGATTAAATGGTCGATTTTTGAGTTAATCGGAAGAACCAACCAATCTGAACTGAGTTTGATAACATTGGCTAAAAGAGTTTAAGGGAGAGGGCCTTTGAGAGGAATGCAAACGGGTCTTCTTTTGAGAGAGGTTGATTGGCCATTATGGAGTTATTTTTAAAACCAATTACGTAAATGGGGTTGTTTTTAAACTATTTACATCTTTGGGGTTATTTATTATAAAGTCGCGACTCTAGTGCCATGTGTCAAATGTTTTTTTAGGGGATGGCTTGATTTTAACTGTGTAGAAGTTGCTATAGCCGGTAGCGACTTTAATAGTGTCGCTACCAGCTGTTCCAACTTGTCAAACGACTCTATTTTTTTAATTTTTTTTATATAAAATAAAAAATTTAATATTTTTAAATGGATTTATTTTAAGAGTTTATCATTTCAAATATTTTTACAATTTACAAAAAAAATAAGATTTTTAAAAAACAACCCATAATAGTTCACTAATAATCAAAAATAAAATAATAGTATTTTTTTAAAATAAGTTAAAATAAAAAAATTAACGTTAAGAGAAATTTTAATTTCTTTTAAAAAAAAAGCTTTTAAAATATTTAATAATTTGTCTACTTTTTATTTCAATTCAAATAGAAAAAATTAATCTACATTAAAAAATGTGTTTTTATATTCATATTATTATATATATATATATATCATATTATTTATATTATATA